AAAAGGTCACAAAAGTAGGTTAATATGCCTTTCAACTGTGCCCAGTGAAATGCACCTTGCTGATTACACCTCAAAGCTTGCAAACAGTTCAGCTTCATCCAAAGGATCCAAGGGTAAGAAAAGTTTTAAACTAGGAAGCTGGTGGTTTCACCTGTACTAAGGCCATGGAATTCCCATCTCCATCCAATAAGGTATTCAAGCACCCTGAAATTCCTCCCCTTGCCATAACTCCAAGGCTTACCCAATGTTTCCATGTTTTTTCATGCTTTTCTTGCTGTTTATGTACGTGCCTGACCTACCCTTAAGACAGAGCTGCAGTCAGTGCACAATCCAGAGATGCATTTGTTTTCTAAGGTTTTAATACATTTAAGTAACAGAGACAGGTTATATTGAGGCACTTATTTGCCAATCCCAATCCACATCAGACTTCCCCTTCTATTTCATACAAAGTTACTCCATTTGACCAATTTTCACCTGACCACACTCTGCAGCACCTCCACCTGTACCAACAGCCACATGAAAGCTGTACTTGACCATCCAGCACAGCAGTCAGCATGGAGCCAAGATCACATCGCTCTCCATGCTGCACCCAAGATGACCCCTGGATTTGCACAGTGATAGGAACTGCTGGATAAGTGCAGTATTCACCCGCTGCAGTCAGCACAATGCAGCTGATATTTTACCTCATTCCACCATTTCAGTTTTCTCATCCTTTGAATTAACTTACCAAAAGAAAAAAAAACAACAAAACCATCTCTTGTTTCTCGAGCTCGTCTCAAGTTGCCAGCACAGCCATCACACAGCCGCCTCAGCAAACAGCAAGCTTTTTTTAAATCCAGTTATTTCCCAAAGCAAAAAGGGGAAGCCAGGTTACAGGACATCACTTGCAAGCTCAGCACTTTAACACGAAAGACAGAAAGTATCACCTGAAAGAACACAAAATTCCCAGAGGAAATAAAAAGTATTTCATTTACAGTGGCATGGATTGATGGCTTAAGGCAACCACTAAGCTCATGTCTTTAGTGCCATCTCAACCCTTTTTCCTTCCACACAAAATCCTCTTAAGTGCTCTTTTTGTTCTTGGCTAGCTGATGGTGCTAAAATTCTCAGATCCCAGGTTCTGCTTTCACCCAGACTGCTTGCCCTCCCACTTTGCAACAAGGATGTGATGGAAATCCCAAGGCACTGCACCAAGCAAGAACTCTGCTCTGCTTTCTATAACTGAAAGACCTGGAGGACATCCTCTCCGCAATCAGAGGAACAGCACCAGTAATGACTTGCTCTGCAGCCCAGCTATGAACACTTAGAGCAATTTCTTATGGGTTTAAACCAAGAGGCAGGACTCCCAAATCAACCCCGTGCTGATAAATAACACAAGCTATGCTGATGGAATATAAAGCAGCAAGGCTGAATTTGCATTCAGCAGGAATAAAGCAGGTAATTTATGGGAAGGGCAGCTGGATAAGTCAAGTGCCTACAGATGCATTCTGCAATTCCTCAGCCCAACTCGGACGAGGCAGCACAAGCTCACAGAGCACAAGCTCACAGCACGCTGCACACTTCCACTCTAAATCCTAAAGGAGGACAGCAGGGCCAAAAAGAGAACCAAATAATACAAGGAAGTCTGATCTTTGATGCCAAGGACTCAAGCCACCATTCTAGGAAACCGAGCACCAGGTATTACCTAACACAATTAAAGTAATTCTAAATAAAAGCCTATTTTAGACAATCACAGATAGGAAGCAGATCCTGTTTCTGATTCCTGAACTCAGAGATTTGTTGCATCTAAAAAGCCAGAAGGATTGGGTTGCCACTCCATTTGGCATGGAAAATTACAACTTTATAATTAGGAAACAAGCAGAGCAGCTTCCTCAAGCATTCTCCATTTTCTCCTCGTAATAAAACCTCTCCGCTCAATCAGCAGGGAGACATATTTAAAACTTGCTTGACCAGCATTCACCCTTGAATTCCTGTTCAAGTTAGAAAAGCTTTGTAATAAGTAAATAAACAAACATAACCTACCAGCAAACAAACCCTGCACTACAGCACAGCTAGGGGGACCAGGAAGGTGAGAAAAGGTTTATAATGCTCAGACATTCATTGCTCCTTCACACCACATGGATTCCACCCACAATGGAAATTCAAATTTGAAATCCCATGGTTTTAAGTGCGGTTTTCCCTCCTTCTTGCTGGAAATGGCAAAGAATTAGGAAAAATGGGCAAGCAGGGGGCTTTGGATCTTGTGCACTAGGGGAAGAGAGACAAAGGTTTGGTTGGGCATTCCAAACTCTTCAGAATTCCTTACATAAATCAACAGAAAGGAGTGAAATTATAATGCACAGTGACTGACTGAGGATACAGATGAAAACAGAAGACCAGTTTCATTTTGAGCATCTTTAACTTTCAGAATTTTGTCCTTTGTCTGGAAAAAACACAATCACAGAAGTGGGTTAGCACAGACTTGAACTTCAGCCCCAGCTGCCTGCACAGTCACCTTTCAGAACTTCACACTTAGGCAGTACAATTACTAGCTCTTCAGAAGGCACTGAAACAGCTTCATGTTGAGATAAAACTCAAGGCAGCACGGTGATGATGTGCACCAGCTCAAGGGGAGGAAAAAGAAATCAGCTCTACAATTTGAATTAGAGGAAGGGACCCTTTGGATGTGACCAAACATTCCTCCAAAGGGCAGGCAGGAGAATTCTCCATGCAGTCTGGAGCTCATCAGTCATCCTTTGCATGGGAAACTCAACTGAGAAGTCCAGCTGACAACTGTAGAACATGTCTTTTCCAAAGAGAATCCTTTAAGTACTAAAAATAGTAATTCAAAAGAGTTAAACTGTGCTTTCATTCTGGTTTATTCCCAGATATCAACTAATAAGATATCTGCACATATATTTACCATATGAGGAAATCCCATCTGAAGATCTTGTGGTTCAAGTATTGTCAAGCCAAACATTTAGCATCACTGCAATTAATAGCATTCTCTATCCCAACAATCCCCATCAACTTGATTTACTTTGAGAATTTCCCTTTTAAGACAGTATTTATTTAAGCTCATATACTTGGCTTACAAAACGTGGACTCTACAAAATAACTCAAACCAGGATTTCTCAGAAGGCACAAGATGTGCAAAGGATATGCTGTGGGCACTGAAAACCTTCCCTGACCTGATGCCTTGGGTTTCAAGAGTGACACAATCACAATCAGAAATAGACTCAGAGTTCAAGAAGAAGAGAAAGTGTTATCCTCAGTTGATTGGCTTCATAAATTTTACATTATTTTGGTAGCACCTACATAAAACAGCAGCTGTAAGTGCCAGTGCCATTTTAGCTCCTTCACGCTCCATCTGAGTATTGTCTACTAAAGCAAAAGATCCTAGGGATACTCTAAATACTAGAAGGAAACTAAAATTGAAACTGGGAATTGCACTGTCTGCACAATGCTGATTCTAAGAGCAAGGTTTTATTAACACATCACCACAGCTCATTTGCCTCTTGTAACCAAGCCCAGTGACCTTTCTTGCAGTAGACCTGGATAAACCACACTCCAGTTGCCCCACACAGTGAGCAAGCCTTCAGGTGTGTACACAGCCACCACAACACACAAATAACGGGGCAGCTGCCACAGGTTCCTACCTGAAGTCCACCCAACAGCTGAGTCTAGCACAGTACTGGAGATCCTGGTCAGGTTTCTCCCGTGCCCACTGCTCTCCGTGACTAAACATGAGAAATCAGAAGACAGCAAAAGCTTATAGCACTCACAAAACTTCTAAATAGCTTGTGCTTTATCTCCCCTAAAGAGTGATAAAGTCACACACCTCAGCTGAATTATTCTTACAGTATACTTTTGCATTCCCTTAAAAGCAGCAGGTATCACCACTGTTGTTTTACAGTACGCCTGCTTGTTTTCCTTTACTTCTTTCTCTCTGAGGATTTCTGCTAATGTAGAAGTCAGGACAGTTGCTTGGACTCCTGACTAATAAATCCTGCAGCAGGTCTCATGCACAAAGACTTCAGCCAGGCCTCTTGGCCTAACATTCACAGGTGAAGTTAGATGCTCCATCATGCCAATCCCACGCTCAGGTGCCAAGCACAGCTTTGCTGCAAGAGGCACAGAATCTTGATCATAAACATCCTTCACCTTCCACCAGAAACCAAAGATCTTCATCCTGTGCCATATAAGTGGTGGGATCACCAGGACCTTCAGCCTCCAGAGGAAAGGATAAGACACTGCCGCTGAAATTCTTACGGTTGAAGCAAAGGATTGATTACTCAACCAGCCTTTACATACAGCTAGACACATTCTTAACCTAACTATATTTGAGTAGCCTTAAAAAATGTCAAACCACAAATTCCTGAGCAGTACCAAACACTGGAGCAATTACAGCCCTAGAGGCACACCGTGTTACAGGGGTTCAGCGGGCACCCCGCCAGGTGGGCCGGGCACAGCAGGACTGCCCCGCCCTTACTGCTGGGTGCGCCCAGAGGAGATGAGACCTCCAGGGCTGCACCCCTTCCACGCACAGCACCAAAGGGAAACCGAAGGCTTTGTCCCTTGGGCGAGCTCATCCCGCCAGCACTGCGCAGCCGGACTGCGCGGCTGCAGAATGCAAAGACTCCAAGCCGAACCCTGGGAGCACCGCACACCGCAGCGGTGCCGCCCCGGACGAGCTCGGCCGCCCCGCAAGGCGTCGGTTCCTGGTTCCGCACAGCTGCGGAGGGACGCGGAGCTCGAGCAGCGCTCCGCCCGCCCGCCCGTTCCGGCTCCGTTAGACGGCGGCACCGCGAGGCGCCAGACCCTGCGGAACCCCGGGCCCTGCGGAACCCCGAGCCTCTGCCCCACCGCCCCCCGCGGGCCCTGCCCCCACCGCCTCCCCCCGGTGCAGGCCGCAGCCGGGGCCTCCCTCACCGCCGCCCCGGGGGAGGGAAAAGGAAGCGGTGGGGCGCGGCCGCGGGGCTGGAAGCGGCGGATCCCGGAGCTGCCCGCGCGGCGCTCACCATGGCGGCTCGGCGGGGCTGCGCTGGGCGGTGGCAACGGCGGCGCCTCCCGGTCCGCTCCGGTCCGCTCTCCCTCCTTCCGAGGCAGGCCGCGGCCCTTCCACTTCCGCCGTTGCCTAGGAGTGAACATCCGGGTCAGCGCCGCGCCGCCCCGCCCTCCCGCCGCGGCCCAACCAATCAGAGCGCGGCTCGCCGGCCATCGCCAAGTATGGAGCGCTGCGCGCGTACGGGGCGGGAGAGAAGGGCGGGAGGAACCATTCCCTGCAGCAGGGCGGGGGGAGCAGCGCGAGGCGCTACCAACGTCAGCGCAGGGGTGGGGAAAGCCGAGACCGGAAGAAGCGCGGCCAATCAGGTGCAGGGGGCGGGGCCTGCGCCGTTTTCGTGGTAGTGCCCGAACGCCTGAAACCGCCCTAAGGTGGAAGGGAGGGCAGGGCGTAGCGCTGCGAACTGCTGCTTGCAGGGTTAGGTGTGCTGCCGGTTATTCCTCCATTCCTTCAGTCCCAAAGGACAGGTGATGAGGAATAGTTGGCTTCTGGCTAATTAAGGACAAGGGTAATTTGAACAGCAAGCGTCCAACTTGCCTGGGAGCTTAGCTTTGATTCTGTAAAGTGTGCGTGTGCCTGCTGAAGGTGAGCAGGTGCTTGCACGGTTTGATGACTTTAGAGCTCAAGAAGCTGATACACATCTGTGAAATAAAATCAGTGGATCCGGGTGTATGGGTAAATAAAACATGTCCGTGGAAGAAATCTATTCCTAAAATACTAAATTGCCTTTCAATGATCTCAGGTAAAACCAATCCCCGTTTCTGACTGTCCTTCCTGTGCAGAGCATGTCAGAGTCGATAGTGGCACAGCTCTCCGTTGCAGCTTTTTGGGAGCAATCTTTTGGGCTGTCCTTCTGAGAGTTTGGTGCCAGGATCCTGAGAACCCTCTGCTGGTGCTCCCTGGCTCCTGCATTGCAGGCTTGGCCATGGTGAGCCAAAAGCCCAGCTCTTGTTCTGTTTGCTTTCCTTCTTTGCTGTAGAAACTGGAAATGCTGTCAAGGGGAGTCATGCATTGCTTCCTGCTCTGATGCAATGGTGTGAAACCACAGCCTGTGTGCAATTGTAATAGAACTTATGTATTCTTAAGGGAACTGCTTCATTTTTTCCTGGGAGGTGACGTTTTGTGGTACATCCACCCGCCAGGAGATAGCCAAGGCCAAGCTCTGATTTTCCACTAAAACATTATCACAGATGTTTTTTGTTCAGCTGTGAATTTTAGTAGCTCTCAGATACCAAGCAGAACCTTCCAAGAAATGACAACTCGGGCTGTGCTCACTTCACTTAACACAGAGCAAATCAGCTGCAACTTTCAGGTTCAAGGCAACAAGCTGATTTCCAGGGATGGGACATGTTAGCACGAGCTGCCCAGCAGCATGAGGTGCAACTGTTGGAGGTCATGAATTATAAAATCCAAACTGTCCTATATATTGATAACTGTTGCTCTCACCAATTTTTCTAAGTTAACCTTGGCCTATATTTGGTTGATTTGTTTGTTTTAAACCTTTGGTCTTTTTGGTGCAGAAACAAAATGAATCTGGGAGGCAAAGAGTGGGAAGCAGAAGAATGATAATCTCTAAAAAAAGGAGCTATGTTACTTAACAAACAAAAGCACATGAAAAAACACTACCAAACAAACCCTAGGATGGGAAATAATGTCTAGTAGAAAGGCCACATGACCTCAAAAGGCATTTCCTGCTCTAGAGTCTCCAAATTCAATTCTTTGCCAGTACTATTGAGCCTAACCTCCCTGAAGCCAGTTTGTAACATGCAGCAATTCAAGCTCCTTGTATTTCCCAGTCCCCACATCCTTCAGTCCTTACATTCCTTCAGAAGTCCCTACCAGCACTAATTAAGAAAAGGCCACCTTCATTACTCAATAGATTATTCCTTCCTTTTACAGCGTTCCACACATCTAACGTGCACAGTTTCCTTGCAGCAGGGTCTGGGAGGACAAACACATGCTCTAAACTTCACAGCTTTTGTCACAAAACTCATGCAAACTCCTCAATGACTGTTTTGCTTTTAGGTCTTTCAGCTAATGAACAGAAAAGATTTCTAGCTGCTTGCTGAAGACAGAGCAAAAGCAGATTTATGCAACCTAGTATATTTTAAACAATTTGAGATCTGAATGAACGTTGATGCCAAGAGGATGTTTTTCTTACATGTAGAAATACAAGCATCATAGATTTTGTTTTCCTGCTAATAGGTATAAAGCAGCATAAACAGCTGCTTTTTATTTTCCCAAAAATATTTGCATTAAGAAGATCTGCAGATTCCTTTTGAAACTGATGTAACATCTTTTCAAATGAGGACCAGCTGCTTGCTTTGCTTGTTTATAGCAGGACATGCTTAAGGGAATGTTTTTGTTTGTTTATTAAGATGTAGGAGCAAGCTCTTCCTTGCAATCTGCAGTGTGGAGATCTCAGCTGGCAGAGAGCTCCCTGTATGTAACTACAGTTGTGGCCATCCTACCTTCTGTTGCAGTTCTTGGAGAGGCTGACACAAAACAAAGCTTATTCAGTCTCTGAGTGGGAGACATTCAGTAGATCTGAGTGCTGTGAGGTGGCTAGCTGCACTCCAGGCATGTCCCACACCTCCCAGCATGGAGTCATCCACCAATAGCCAGGAGTATGCTCAGAAGGCTCAGCAGCAGGCATTATTCATCTTAGAATGAGGGCCTATAAACAAAGGAAGCAAACAATTATGTTAGTTGGTGGCTTAACAGCCCTAAAACATCAGATTCATGTGCAATTAATAACAAGGCTTTTCATCTTTTAATCAGCAACTATAAAATACATATGCTCTCCCTGTACTTTTGATTATATTCAAGGAAGCAAAAGGATAAATACTTCTTTTTTAGCATTGTCACATTTAGCCAGAACTCCTTCAAACATGATATGCTTTTTATTTTATCCTCCTTGCATGTGTTGCATGCATGGTGAAACGCTGTTTATTTTGTTTAATCCAGCATTTAGCCAGGACCAAAATGTAACTGAGAACATGTTTAGAAATCAGGTCCTAAAGAAAGCTTTAACGCTTCACCAAACACTCATTTTTCCACTAAAGAAAAAGACATCTTAGGCTTCTTTTTCTTTCTTTCTTCCTCTCTTCCTCTCTTTCTCTCTTTCTCTCTTTCTTTCTTTTTTCAGTCAGATTGCCCATTTTCTTTCATGTCCAGCTTGAGGCACTTGAAAGATATGTAAACTTTTTATTAGGGGTTCTCATAAATTGAGTTTACTGCTGCAAGAGTCTCCACTTCCAGCAATGGTAAAGTTTAGCTTGCTGGTTTGTATTAGTCAGTCAGTAAACCAGCAGCATCACTTGATTTGAGGCTGAAAACTGAGCATTTCTTGGAAACTAATATAGGGAAAAGGTACCTACAATGCTACCCAATGGTTTGGAATTTCGTATTCAAGCCATAGATAGTTCTCACTATGGAAATCTTTGTACACACTGTCAAAATAGCTGCACAAACAATAAAAACCACCTCCTTCCCATTCCAATTCCAAGGCAGCTTTGCTGAGGGTACTCTTGCAATACAGTACAAGAGCTGATGAGAAAATCAAAATACAATGTTTGGTAAAAAGCGACACGCTGTCCATTTGGAGAGGTTTGAGGCACTCCTCCTCCCATACCAAGGACACTAAAACAAGGCTCCAAAACAAGACTCTTCATCAGCATCCAGGCAGATACACTGCCTGCCTTAGAGGTTCATCTGAATAACATAAAAGGCAATAAACTTAGTGGCCTGAAACATCCATATAATTGTTTATTTCAGTCCAAAAGTACCTGCCCATCCTGATGAGAACAGTGCCTTCAGAAACACCTTGCAGTTGTTTGCAGCCACACTCTTTCTGTGTCCCCTAGATTTCCACCCAGTTTTGTTTCACAGAATGTGTGATGCCAATGGGCAAATGTCAGTGAGACATATCTGAAACCTCACCACACAAAACCCAGCAGAGCCTGTTCACAAAAGGACAACAAAGCTTTCTTTAAATATCAATCCCAGAAAGCAGACTGCAGAATTACTGAGATTGTTTGTTTTTCAGCATATGCCTCTTCATTTTGTATTCAGGGATGCTGTTTACTTCTGTGCTTGTGATTGCAGTTTTACCTTTATATTTTAAGCATAGAAAGTGCAATAGGAAAGACCTCTCAGAACTGTCTTTTGCCTGAGCAAAAAGAGAACATTCTTGTCAAACTTGGTCATTAACTGCACTAATAATGCCTCCAGCCTGTCATTAAAAGGGAAGCAATGAGAAGCTGATTAAATGTACCAGAAAGAAACAAAACTTTCCATTCCTTTCCTTCTTCCTTGACACGTTGCACTTCATTGGAAGTGTGCTAATATACCAGCCAAAAGAGTTGTAAGGGCTTGGATTCCTTCTTAATACAATAGTCACGGTTCACTAGTTAGAATCTGCATGGAAAAAAAGTGCTTAAAGAGTTGAGAAGGAATACTTTCTGCAGGATTATTCATTAGACAGTCTCTATCAGCACAGTGCAATAGTACTTTTTCAACAATCAAACTAAAAAATGGATCACAAAGTAGCACACATCAAATGAAGATGTGTTGTAGTGGTGCTGATGCCTGCAAGGGAGAAAGCCAAAACACAGGAGTTAGCAAAAGTTCAGATCAATCTTTCCATGCAGGTACTTTCCTTCAGGTTCCTGAACCAAACTTCATATTCATGGCAAAAGCAGCTTAAAGCAGAATTAGCACAACGAGCTGTGACACATCTTGTTCCATTTTTTAAAGTTCCACTTCAATCAGCTGTACCTGACAACTGTAACCAGCAGTACTGCACTGCTGAATGTAACTGAATGTAACATTACATCAGCTTTGCAAAACTGGCATGAAAATACATTAGCACAGACACAGGATGGACTTATTAATGTGAATGTGATCACTATGAAAGGGCTGAATGATCACTCTGCATCACAAGCTGTGTTTCCTAATGCAGTACCTCAGTCCTTAGCCTATTGTTCATCCCCACAGTATCTGAGTGCCTTCCACATAAAATCAATAAGAATACAAAGTAGACTTAATGGAGTCTCTGGCACTTTTCCCACTTGAAGGCAATGTCCTGCTGAGGAGGG